AATTCTTAGAAAAATATTTCACGGGTCATAATTTCTGGAAAAGCTTCGAGAAATGGTTATGAAAGTAAAAACGAAAGCAAATAAATTAACCAAAATAAAAATAAAGCATGTAACCCCCCCCCCCCCCCCCAAACTTAAACCAAGCATTGGCCTGAATGTTTTAGTAAAAGAAAGTATAGGGAACTCACAGAGACCATCGTCGAGGAGGTAGAAGAGGCTAAGAGGATGAAAAATTCATGAGGAGTCTGAATTGTTGTGATGTGGGTTGTTACAGGTTGTAATGTATGTTACGGGCAACCGTAACAGCTAGCTGGGATTTGTGTCATGATAGGTGAAAGGAGCCTGGGTGTCGTTACAGACTGTAACATAAGTTACGGGCGCCCGTAACACGCCTCTGATTTCTCTACTAGATTCTTCATTATCGGCTTGGATTTTCCGGATTCGATTTCATGTGTTCATCCCTCTCAAAATTTTCAACAACTTAGGATGCCTTTCTTTGTGAGTACCTTTTTATTAACTAAAAGTGAAACAAACAATCAAGAAAAATGGTTAGCAGAAAAAAAATAAGGTGGGTTTCCTCCCACTAAGCACTTCATTTAGTGTCACATGGCTCGGCGGTCCTCAAGTGTTATCACTCAAGGTTGTTCTTTCTTCAAAGTCAGAACTGCGGTCTTCTTCTTGGTTGGCTAGAGTCTCCATCTGAGCCTTCTCACCCATGCCACACATCCAATATTTTTCTTTCTTTGCAGACGTGCTCTTCATGTACTCTTCTTTTCAATGGCTTTCTCCTTTTCTCTTCCCTTCTTCTCATTTTTCCTCCATGAGACATCTTATCGGATAAGGCTAAGGTATTGACATTGTTGCAGAGCATCAGAGAAGGTTTGATCATTAGGGATAAAGAATCATATCTTCTTTTATCCTATCACAAAGGTTATCATTCCTTCTTTGACATAGATAACTGTCCCCAGTGTGGCCATAAAAGGTCTTCCTAGGATTACGGAGACCTGGACGTTTTCATTTATATCCATCACCGCAAAGTCTGCATGATAGCAAAGGCCTCCAAATGTAACAGGGACATCCTCGAGAATTCCTAATACTTTCTTGATTGATCCATCGGTAAGCTTTAGCGACACGTCACAAGGTTTTAGTTTTCCTAAGTCGAGTTTCTTGTAGAAAGCGATGGGGAGCATATTGATGCATGCGCCAAGATCATAAAGGGCCTTTTCAGCTTTTATAGTACCAATCTCGCAGGGAATCGAAAAGTCCCTGGAGCCTTCCAGCTTAGTGGGATTTCATCTTTTATCAAGGCACTACACATGACAGTTAGCTTTATAATCCCATATTTCTTCATTCTTTTCTTGTGGATGGTGATTCTCTTAGTTCCCAAACGAGAGGATATCCAAGATGGGAACTCAGAGAGAGAGAGAGAGAGAGAGAGAGAGAGAGAGAGAGAGAGAGAGAGAGAGAGAGAGAGAGAGAGAGAGAGAGAGAGAGACGTGGTTGCAGAGCTTCCTTAGTAACTCTACGGGGTTCTTGCGGTGTACTTCATTCTTGATCTCAATTGCCTTCCTTCCAGTGAACTCATAACTTTCCTTTTTGAGCTTGTTAATTTTTATCTAAAATTCTCAGTAACAGCGTCTTCTTTCTTCTTGAGTTTATTGACCTGATCAACACTTAGAATTGTTATGGCATTCAGTTGACCCCTAGGATTTTGCTCGGGTTGTCCCGAGAAAGTTCTCGAAGGGACGGAGGCTGGTGCTTGTTGTTAAGCAACCTGAGAGATTTGAGTTTCTAGCATTTTAGAATTAGTCACAATACCTTCAATCTTTGTATTTAGTTGCATGAGTACCTCATTGGTGTGAAGGTTTTGGTTTTTGAAATCTTCATTCTGGAGATCTTGAGTCGCGATAAAATTTTCTATCATAATATATCTCTATGCGTTATTTTCCTAACACTTTGAACGACACGTCAAATATAGTCCTGAAACTCAAGTTACGGTATTTTGAAAAGTTGATGTCAGACTGCTCACCTCCCTCTCACCCAGACCTCGCCCAACGAAACTCCTTTTTCCATAAACCCTAAAACCCTCTCGCATGATGCTCGCCCGGCTACGCTTGGGCGAATCGCACGCCTTTGGCTCACCCGTCGAGACGCGCGATTCTGCAACTTCTCAGTTGCATTTCATTGTTGTTTCAGCCCCATTCCAATTTTGATTTTCGGTATAAATCCAACCAAAAATTCATTTTAATCATAATATTCCATAATTTGACAACAACACATCATTATGCACATATTACATATGAATCATGGCATATGAACATCATCATGATACAACACATCATGGTATTCATCATAATTTTCATCAAAAACATCATACCAGACAACACATACACCTACCTTAACCCCATATCAATCATAATAAAACTGATTACACCTTTACCTCGAATTCCTAGCAGATTTAATCTCTTTGAACTCTAAGGGATGAATCTCCTCTTATTTTCTCTCTGTGCCTTATCATTCTCAATTTCTCCAACTTTTCAAGGTCGTACATAATGATCTCTCTCTCTAATTTTCTCTACTAAAATAGTCTCTTTCTATGGTTTACCAATTCTATCTCCACTTATCCTCATACTATTACCATCACGCCCTTAACATCTCTATACACTCAATTATTCTATTTTAGTTATTAATATTATTATAATTCTTAATAATGTAAAATTGTCTAAATCTAAATAATTCTAATTATCATCTCAATCTCACTAATTCCCAACCACATATCATCACACATCTCATAAAATCAATAATAAATCATAAATAATCAATAAAATAGAGAAATCTAGATTTATGGGTGTTACATTGAATATGTAACTTAAATGTCCGAGAAATCCTCTGACTTGCTTTTCTGTTTTAGGCGCGAGCATTTTCTGAATGGCTCTGACTTTATCGAGATCTACTTCAATACCTCTTTGACTAACGATAAAAACCAAAAGTGTTCCTAAACAGACACCAAAAGTACATTTATTGGGATTCAATCAGATTTTATACTTCCTCAAACACATAAATAACTTCAACAGAAACTCAGCATGACCGTCCTTAATTTTGGACTTGGAAACCATATCATCAACATAAATTTATATTTCGTTGTGCATCATATCATGGAATAGGATATTCATTACCCTCTGGAATGTAGAACCAACGTTCTTCAAGCCGGAGGGCATCACTCTGTAATAGAATGTTCCCCAGAGGGGTGATAAACGTTTTTTTTCCATGTCCTCGGGTGTCATCTTTATCTGATTGTATCCGAAAAATCCATCCATGAATGAGAAGACATTGAACTTGTTGTATTGTCTACCAACATATCAATGTGTTGTAAAAAAAAAATTATCTTTCTGACTAGCCTTGTTCAAATCTCTATAATAAACACACATTCTTAGTTTTTCATCTTTCTTTGGTACTGGCACGATGTTGGTCACCCATTAAGGGTAAACAGATGTAACAAGCAAACCTGCATCAATTTAATTATGCACTTCCTCTCTGATATTTATAGCCATGTTATGGTGAGTTCTTCTCAACTTTTGTTTTACAGGCAGACATTCTGACTTCAACGATAATATATGCTCCATAATATCAGTATTTAATCCTTTGCATCAATTTAATTATGCACTTCCTCTCTGATCTTTATAGCCATGTTAGGGTGAGTTTTTCTCAACTTTTGTTTTACAGGCAGACATTCTGGCTTCAACGATAATATATGCTCCATAATATCAGTATCTAATCCTGACATATCCTAGTAATACCAAGAAAACACATCAACATACTCTTTCAGCAGTTGTATCAATCTTCTCTTGACATCTTGACCAAACAGTGCCCCAATTTGACCTTATTTTTGTCCTCTTCAAAACTCAAGTTGATTAACTCTATCGGCTCTTTATAAGGTTGAATGATCTTCTCCTCTTGCTCAGGCAACTGAAAAATTTCTACATGAATGACAATATTATCCTCATCCTCTGCTTCAAATACAAGGAGTTCAAAGTTGCAAGAGGGCACATGGTCATTGTTTTCAATGAATTTATTATGAATTAATTTGCACAATGATTTATGTTTTGTTTTAGAAATAGACAAATTAAAAAGTGAGATGTGTCACACCCTAAAATTTTTCATACTATCATTCACTTTCATCTAGTTCTTTAGCCTTGATTCATCTGCATACCTTTCTACCAATTGTTCAGTTACATCCATAAATCATTCATATGCATTCGTGTGATCTTTGTGTTGGTTTTTCCCATCCCAAAAAATTATGGACCTGGATTCTAATTTTGGCTTTAGCTTTGCCCATGGCAATGGTTCGCTTAATCAGATAATCAAGGTTTTTCTTGTGATACAAGAAATTCATTCAAGTTTGGTTGCTTTTGATTTTTTGTGCAAGATTAAGGCCTATGATTTAGGTGAAAGAAGATGAAAAAATCTTTCATTTGGCAAAGTTTGACTCTTTGGTCAACAAAGTCAACCTTGGAGGTTTGACTTTTGTTGACCCCAAATCCTATTGGAATTTCTTTCATAAAGCTACATGATTCTGTTTGGGCATCATTTTAAAAGAAGTGTCATTCAAAGAATTCAAATCAAAATCCCTTTTGAATGAAGAATAGGAGAGTTACTTGAATGTCAAGTTGGAAGTAAGGTCTATTAAAGCTATTTGCTCTTATAGGATCCTAAGCCAAGACTTTAGAATGGATTCAAGGTTGGATAACCAACTTATGTTCGGATCTTCACCATTATCACTCAATTTCATTTTGGTACAAGATTTTCAAGATGCTAAGGAAGAACAAAATATGAGTTTAAAATGCATTTTGGTACAAAATTCAAGAATTAAAGACATAAGTAATTAAATATCATTGGAATTCTTATTCTATCACAACAAGTTTGTGTGAATTACTTGGTTCTAATTTACAAGTTACAGTAGGATCCTAAACCTATGTTTCTCCGTTAATCTCAAGCTTTCTTCAAAAATTCTCATCATTTACATCATGAAATACAATCATAGTCAAGTAATCTGCCACATTAACCAATGTTCCGGACCCACTGGTACAAGGAGACCAGGCCTGCTGTGCAATCATGCTTGTTACAAAGAACTTAGACCAATATGTTATTGTGATATCAAATATCAGACCATGTAATCCTTTTGATGCTCCAACCTGCACATTAACACTAGACACCGGATCAGAATAGGGAAATAATGCATCATGCTCAAATCAATACTCAATTCACAAACTGCAAAGCATTAGCTCAAGTTACGTAGACTGTGCCCATCCAGTCAAGGAGCAAGCATGCACTAAGTGGCAGTTAAGGAGCAAGCATGCACTAAGTGGCAGTCCAGGCAGTTTTCCAACCTTACTTCAATACAAGTTCAAACCAAATTCCTACTGTTAAATATACACAAATGCACCATTTACATGATACAAGCCACCCAACTCAAACGTATTCAGATGCAGCCTGTGACATATCAAGCAAGCATGTCACATTCAACATTCATTCAAAGCCTATGTTATCCAGTCCCAAGATAATTCACAAAAATCAGTAAATTCCATACCAAATGCAACAAATCACTTCAAACATGTCAAAAGCATAAGATGATCAAGCCAATAGTATGCAGTACATCACAATTCTATGGATCCTAACATGTCTAAGGCAATCTTCATCAAACAGTTGGCATTAAGGATGATCTATCTAAATGGCAGCTAGACATTAAGGACTGGTTTGGTACCTCATATGGTGCAAGTACCAATTGCAAGGGTTATACGCCTATGTCCAAATCTTCAAGGGTCCAAATTCATGCTTCAAGATGGTGATCAAAACCTGTCAAGATAGCAGCTAAATATTATTGGGCAGCAGATGGAAATCAACTCAATTAAGGGCAATTAGACCATTTATCAAACATCTATGGTGCAATTTGCAACTTCAAATACAAGGAAGGACAGATTTTCAATTCATCAACAAATGCACATGGTGAATTTCGGTGTGCACAAATATGTGTGATGTCACTAATCACCTTCAACTATGCTCTCAACATCTCTTCAATCTCTTGACCGCGTCAAAATCACCTTCAACATAAAACCTTCCTTCATCCCAAATACTCTCTTAATCACTACAAATCCACCTTGAAACTCTGCACAAATACTACAAATCGCAGCCTTCCATACTCAAAATCTCACTCATTCAAACCTATACTCACTCTGTCCAAAAATCCTCCAACCCTCTAACGGTTAAAACTTTCTGCAAATAACTTTCATAACTTTCTGCAACATTCATAAACCCCTCTACCCTAAAACTCTCTGCAAAATCACACGAAATTTCTCTGCAACAACCCACAAACTACCTCAACCTCCATATCATCCATACTCGCATCCTTAAAACAGATATACAACAACAAGCGAATCGCAACGCTCCGAACAGAAACGACACACATAGACAGCAACAACACAAAACAATAACCAAATTTCAGAAGTAGAAAGAAAAAGAGCAGAAGATTTACGTGTTCACCTGAGCAAAACCTTCAAGGTTGAGCTTCGATTTTGTTCATCCTCTTCGCGTATCCTTCGTTTTCGCAACAGTTTCATCTTCACAATCATCATATAAATCATTTCCGTGTGTTTAGTTTGCTGATTTCGTCGCTTTTGAAACTTAGGGTTTGGATCTTCCCCTTTTAGACCTAGACTTTTAGGATCGTTTGTGTAAATTCCTTTAGCGAATTTGGGTTTTGGGTGAGGAAGCAATTCCGATGGTGCCGTTTTCCTGAGCTCCGGTAAGATCTTTGCCGTTAAAACAGCCTCCGGCGGTGTCCGAGAGAAAGAAAACATGTTAGAGAGAGAGAGAGAGAGAGAGAGAGAATATGTTGAAAAAGAGTGTGTGAGTATATATTGCAGAGCTGAACGGAGAGAGACTTGTTTCGTTTTTTTTTTTTTTGGTTTCAAATTTCAGGTGACAGGTGTCACCGGTGGGAGAGTGACACCCTATTTGTTTCAGTGCACGCAAGCCTACGCCCTTACCGCGCTCCCTCAACATCATCAATGTCTATCAAGCGTATTCCCGGGTCAAGGCTAGATCTGACGTCCAGGATGTTTCCTCAAAATCAACACCCACGGTGCACCTCCAAAGATCACACCACATCTGAATTCTCCTTGAGAGAATTCTCTCTGCACCCCAGGTTCAATCATTTCTGGCCCATTTACTTGTTTGTTTCTAGTATATCTTTTGTTTTATTTTACTTATTGTTTAATTAATTTGTTTGATATCATAAAAATGAAAAAAATATGTTACATGATTAATTCTTTGAAATATTGTAATTAATTAATTAACTAATTAATTACTTATTTTTTATTAAATAAATTAATTTAATTTAATTAATTGTTTTTTATTTAATTCAATTGGGTTGTATTGTTTGATTAATATTGGACTTAGTTGAGAACAACTACTTCCAGTTGCAATATACTCAACTTCAGCAGTTGACAAAGAAACACAATTATGTTTCTTGCTAAACCAAGAAATCAGATTATTTCCCAAAAAGAAACATCCACCATAAGTGTTTTTCTATCATCAACATTCCCAGCCTAATCTGCATCACAATACGCCACCAGCATTGAATCTGAACCATGAAAGTATAACATACCATAGTCACTAATACCATTGATGTACTTAAAAATCCTTTTTACTTGATTGATGTGACTTATTTTTGGCTCAGCTTTATATCTTGCACACACACACAATCATACTTTTGTATAAGCTTTGATCAATAACAATACTTTTTCATCTTTTAATAGTTTCACATGAGTAGGAGCATGTGTCCTCTTGTGACTAGCATTCTCCATTCCAAGCTTCTTTATTATGCTCTTGGCGTACTTACTTTGAGAAATGAAGATAGATTCATCCATTCGTTTCACTTGAAGCTCGAGAAAATATGTCAGTTCACCAACAAGACTCATCTCAAATTCTGACTGCATTTGTTTGAGAAAATGTTCCACCATATGGTCTGACATCCCTTCAAACACGATATTATCAATATATATTTGAGAAATCATAAGTTTTTTATCTTTCTCCTTGACAAACAGAGTCTTGTCTATTCCTCCTTTCTTGTAGCCATTGTTGACAAAAAATTATGTCAACCTCTCATACCAAGCTCTAGGAGCCTGTTTCAATCCATAGAGAGCTTTCTTCAATTTAAACACATAGTATGGATAAGTAGGATCAATGAATCCCTTTGATTGTTCAACATATACCTCTTCATGCAAGTACTCATTCAGAAAAACACTTTACACATCTATTTGAAATAATTTAAACTTTAATAAACAAGCCACTCCTAACAAAAGTCTAATAGATTCAATTCTAGCAATTGGGACAAAAGTCTCATCAAAATATATCCCCTCAATGTGAGTGTAACCTTGTGCCACAAATCTTTCCTTATTTCTAGTGATAACTCCACTGCCATCATTTTTGTTCTTGTACACCCACATTGTTCCAATGAAATTTGTTCCATTTGACATATGAACTAAATCCCACACTTCATTCCTCATGAACTGGCTTAGTTCATCTTGCATGGAATTTATCCAGAATTCATCAATTAAGGCTTCCTTTACATCTTGGGTTCAATATTAGAAACAAAGCAAGAGTTAGAAAGAACCTTCATTGATCTAGTAGTAATCCCTTGGTTAAGATCTCCTATAATGAGGTCTTTAGAATGATCTTTCTGAATTCTAATTGAAGGACCCTTATTGACTTGGATATCTTTAGGTTCGGCCTCAACAGTATCATTATTGGTGTATTCTTCTTCCACACTTGTTGTTTTATCATCCATCTAGAATGATATTCCAACATTATCTTCAACTTTATGATCATTGTTTGTGCTTGAGTCATCAACCACAATATTTATAGACTCTATCATAACCTGAGCTTTGGTGTTAAAAACTCAATAAGCTTTGTTGTTTGTAGAGTAGCCAAGAAATACCCCTTCATCACTTTTAGGATCCATTTTCCTTCTTTGCTCACAGTCAGCTAATATGTAACATATACTTCCAAACACATGAAAGTATTTGATTGTATGCTTTTTCCCTTTCCATAGCTCATATAGAGTGTTAGCAGTATCGGTCTTTAAGGTGACTATATTATGAATATAACATGCAATATTCATAGCTTCTACCCAAAAATGATATGGAAATTTCTTTGCATGAAGCATAACTCTTGCAGATTCTTGAAGAGTTTTGTTCTTATTTTCTACAATGCCATTCTGTTGAGGAGGGATAGGTGAAGAGAAATCATGACTAATACCTTTAGAGGCACAAATTCAAAAAATTAACTGTTTTCAAATTCCCTACCATGATCACTTCTAATTCTAACAATGTTTCTTTCCTTCTCTCTTTACAGGTGTTGACACATCTCCTTGAAAACATCAAAGACTTATGATTTATCCCTGATAAACTTTACCTAAGTGAATCTTAAAAAATCATCAACAATAACATAAGCATACTTTTCCTCCAATACTTTCAACTTGCATAGGTCCCATCAAATCCATATGAAGAAGTTCCATAACTTTTTAAGTGGTCTGATGTTGAAGCTTTGGGTGTGACATCATGGTTTTCTTTCCAATTTGACATTCTCCACAGATTTTCCTACCTTAATCTTGAGATTAGGAATGCCTCTGATAGCTTATTTAGATATAATCTTATTCTTACATTTCAAATGTAAATGATCAAGTTTTTGATGTCACGGTTTGACTTCATCCTCTTTAGTCAACATACATGTTGAATTATAGTTGATTCCTTGAGATGTTCACAAGTAGAAATAATCCTTAGACCAGTCTCCTTTCATGAGCACTTCATTCTCCTTATTAGTGAAAAACATTTATATTTTATGAAGTTCCTCTTGAAACCTTGATCACATAGTTGACTAATACTTATCAGATTAGAAATCAAACCTTTTACAAACAGGACCCTATCAAGCTTAGGAGATCCTTCACAAACTAGCCTTCCAACACCTTTAATATCTTTTTTGGCACCATCTCCAAAAGTAACATAGCTAGTCGTGTGAGGTTTAATGTCTTTCAATAAATTTTCTACACTTGTCATATGCCTAGAACATCCACTGTCAAAATAAAATTCTTCATTAGGCGAGACTTTAAGAGATGTATGAGTAATGCGATTTTTGACAATATCTTTTACTTTCTATTCCTTTTTAGTCCTGGTTAGAAAATAATTTGCACTGGGTTGAGATGGGTGTTTTGGATATCCATGAATCATGTGACAAACTTATTTTGAGTGTCCACTTCTCCTAGAAAACTGACATCTCCAAGACTTAAAGTCAACTTTGGTCTGAGTTTCCTGTGACTTGACAGGATGTTGTGACCTTTGGCTAGACATCTTGCTTTCATCTTGTATTTTAGAAGGGAAAAACTTTATCTCAGAGGTTTTCTTCTTATTTTTTAAGCTTTGATAGTCAAACCCAATTCCAGTATGTCTTTTCCCTCCTTCCACATCATGAAGAATATCATCTAGCACATCAGATTCATTGTTCAACATCCTAAAACCTTTGATCAAATTATCAAGTTTAGATGTCAACAAGGTCACCTTATTTTGGAGTTCAAAATTATCAACTAGGTATTCATCGTTCTCAACCTGGAGTTTAGCTATGACCATCCTCGGTTTTACTCCTATTTGATAGATTTTCTCACTTTTGTTGCATAGATCTCTGTAGGAGGTGGTCAATTAATCATAAGGTATCTCTTCACTTTTGAAGTTTGCCTTAGGATCCCATCTTCCTGTTAAGGAAGTTAAACTCTTAGTAGACTCTTCCTTAATAGATTCATTATCTGACCCCAAAAATGGATAGTCCCTTAGGATGTCTCTTGAGATACATATGACATTTTGTTTTAATGTGCCCAAATCCTTCACATTTATGACACTGAATTCCTTTACTTTGATCAGACATATCTTCAATCCTGAGTTTATTTTGAGAATTATAATTATTACTGATGTCAAATGAATTGATCTTGACATTTGACCTTTCCTTCATTTCCAATCTCTTCAAGACATTTCTAAATTGGCTCCCGGGTAACACAATGGTGTCTGACAATTTTTATTCATAATCCATAGTACCAAAAATATTCTCCCTGGAGCTCACCTAATAGACAGAACATGATGCATTCTCTAATGCCAATTGAAATTATGGTACTTACAATGCAGATGTCAAAACTGATGTCCTAACACCAACACAATGTCAAAAAAGATGTTATAACATTTGCTCATAAAACAACAACTTTCAAAAGAGAATTATGCATTAAAATAAAATACTGAATGTAAATTAAAACGGTTAATTGTTAACTCAGTTCAGTGCAACGTCACATACTCCGGAGGCTACCAAGCAAGGAAGTAAATTCACTAGGATAGTATTAGTTCAAATCTAAACTAACCTTATTTTAAAATTTCTCGCCTAATCAATATCTTGTGCAACTTATACCTAGAGACCACTAGATATGAGATCCCCCTATCACTTCCAATCACCACAGTGGTACCTACAACCACAAACCTTGTGACTAGACTTAAGGAACCAAATAGAAGATTACACTTCAAATAAACAATACTTAGTTTTTCTTAAAAGTTTCAACTAAGAATAATACTCAACTCTTTGCTTAAAATCTCACGAGTGAGAACAATAACTTGATAAAATTATCAAGTAACAATCATTCAAACTCAATGCATCAAAAGATACATGAGTGACATACAAAGAACACAAACACTAAGAACTTAAAAGACTCCCAAAATCCTAATCCTTATGTTGCACCCACGATTTCTTCTATGTGAATTCTTACTAT